TTTTTTTTTGAGACAGAGTCTTGCTCTGTTGCCTGGGCCAGAGTGCAGGGGTGTCATCACAGCTCACTGCAACCTCAAATTCCTAGGCTCAAGCAATCATCCTGCCTCAGCCTCCTGAGTAGCTGGGACTACAGGCACGTACCACGATGCCCAGCTAATTTTTCTGTTTTTTTGTAGCGATTTTTCTATTTTTTGTAGAGACGAGGTCTCGCTCTTGCTCTTGCTCAGAATAGTCTGGAACTCCTGGCCTCGAGCATCCTTCTGCCTGGGCCTCCCAGAGTGCTAGAATTACAGGCCTGAGCCACCACGCCTGGCCTATTCTTTTAGATTTGTTGTGGCTTGTTTTATGACCAAGGATGTGATCTATCTTGTTGACTGTTTTATGTGCACTTGAATAAATATTGTACTGTTAGTGGTGGAGTCTTCTATAAATATTAAATAGGTCAAGGTGGTTGATAGTGTGGTTTATTCTTCTGTATCCTTATAGGTTTTCTATTTATTTGTTCTATCAGTTACTGAGAGAAGGATATTGAAATGCTCAACTGAAATTGTGCATTTATTTATTTTTCTTTCAGTTCTATTGATTTTTGCTTCTTGTATTTTGAAGTTTTAAGGTACATGTACATTTTGGATTATATACATTTAGGTTATGTCTTCTTGGTGATTTGACACATTTATTATTATGTGATATCACTTTTTATTCCTGGTCATATTTCTTTTTCTGAAGTCTGTTTTGTCTGACATTACTATCATTACTCCAGCTTTTCTTTGATTATTGTTTGCAAGGTGTATCTTTTTTCATCCTTTGACACTTAATGTAGCTATGTTTTTATATTTAATACAAAATGCTTATAGACAGCACATAGTTTGGTCTTGCTTTTTTATCTCAGTCATTTAATTGGTGTGTCTATAACAATTATTGGTATAGTTGGATTAAAATCTACCTTCTTGGTAGCATTTTTCTGCTTGTCTCATCTGGTCTTTGTTCCTGTTTTCCTTTTTTCTGCCTACTTTTGGCTTAAGTGGGTACTTTCTATGATTACATTTTATCTCCACTATTGACTTTTCCTTTATTTGGAAAAATTTTCCAGAATTTTTGGTGGTTGCCCTAGGGTTTACAATAAACATCTTGAATTATTCATAGTGGACCTTTAAATAGTATGATACTGCTTAATGTATGTATACTTATAATAGTATACTCCCAATTTTATCCTCTCATTTTTTTGTGCTCTTGTTGTCATACATTTTACTTTTACATATGCTGTAAACACACAGAACTTTGCTACTATTTTTGCTTTAGATAATCAGTTATTTTTTAGAGTGATTGAAAGCAGGAAAAAGTATCTGTATTTACCTTCATTTTAACTGTTCTCAGAGATTGTCATTTCTTTGTGTAGATCTAGGTTTCTGTCTGCTATCATATTCTTTCTATCTAAACAACTTCTTTAAACATTTTTTTATAGTACAGGTCAACTGATAATGAATTCTCTCTTTGCTTGAAAAGGTTTTTATTTCACCATGATTTTTGAAAGATATATTTTGCTGAGTATAGAATTCTGGGTTGATAGTTGTTTTTTTGTTTTTATTTTTGTTTCTTGTTAAAGCAGTTTATAAAGATGTCACTACATTGTCTTCTGGCTTATGTAGTTTCTGATGAGAAGGTGGCTGTGATTGTTTGACATAGTTCTTCTATTAACATATATAATGTGTCTTTTCCTCTCTGGCTACTTTGAAGACTTTGTCTTTAACCTTAACTTTCAGTTGTTTGGATATGATGTGTCCATGTATGTTTTTTGTTTGTTTGTTTTTGAGACAGAGTCTAACTCTTGCCCGGGCTAGAGTGCCATGGCGTCAGCCTAGCTCACAGCAACCTCACACTCCTGGGCTTAGGCAATCCTCCTGCCTCAGCCTCCCAAGTAGCTGGTACTACAGGCACACGCCACCATGCCCGGCTAATTTTTTCTGTATGTTTTTAGTTGTCTAGCCAATTTCTTTCTATTTTTAGTAGAGACAGGGTCTTGCTCTTGCTCAGGCTGGTCTCGAACTCCTGAGCTCAAACGATCCGCCCACCTCGGCCTCTCAGAGTGCTGGATTACAGGCGTGAGCCACCATGCCCGGCCTTGTTTGGTTTTTGGTATTTATCCTGTGTGGATAAATTATCTGAGCTCCTTGGATCTGGGGTTTGATAGTGTTTATTATTTTTGGAAAATTCTTGGCCATTATGTCTTCAAATACTACTTTTCTCCTTTTGGAATTTCAATTACATGTTTTTTAGACCATTAGACTGTGATTCAGTATCACAATTAAAGAGTTACTGAGATTCAAGGATAGAGTCCTTGGATGCTTTATCCTATTTTTTCCTTTCATTTCTCTTTGTGTTTCAGTTTGGGTAATTTCCTTTAACTTATCTTCAAATTTACTGAAACTTTTCTTAGCTCTGTTGAATCTACTAACAAACCTGTTGAAGGTATTCTTTCACCTCTATTACTGTGCTTTTCTTTCTTAGCAATTCCATTTGATTTTTTCTAGGTGTTTCCATCTCTGCTGAAATTCCCTATTCATTCATGTTGTCCATCTTTTCCATTAAAGCTTTTAGTATATGAATCATAGTTGTTTTAAATTCCCTGTCTGTTCATTTCAGCAGTTGAGGGTTCTGTTGATTGCTTTGTCTCTTGATCGCGGGTTGTCTTAGTCTTGCCTTTTGGGGTGTCTCATGATGTTTAATTGAAGATAGGTGCTGCCAGTGTGATCTTTTCTGCCCCTTCTAAAGAGACAAAAGGGGCCGGGCGCGGTGGCTCA